TACCTGAAGGACTATATTCTGGTGTAATCTGGTAAAATGTGTTTTAAAATGTGTTGCTTTTTTTGTTTGTGGTTTAAACAATTCAAATCTATATACAGGGTGACCCCCCCCCAAAAAAAGGTATACGCACTGTAACAGCTGATAGCTCAATTTTGAAAATGAAATGTATTTTAATAAACACTGCCTTTATAATTATCCAAAGTGTGTGTATATATTAGACACAAGTTTGTATTTAATTTTTTAAAAGTGTTTTTTCCATTTCAGTTTACATTCAGTATTATTTTGTATTAGTTTCAGGTGTACAGCATAGCGGTTAGGCCAGTGGTCGGCAAACTCATTAGTCAACAGAGCCAAATATCAACAGTACAATGATTGAAATTTCTTTTGAGAGCCAAAATTTTTAAACTTAAACCATATAGGTAGGAACATTGTTATTAACTTAATTAGGGTACTCCTAAGGCTTAGGAAGAGCCACACTCAAGGGGCCAAAGAGCTGCATGTGGTTCGTGAGCCGCAGTTTGCCGACCACTGGTTAGGCAATCATATACTTTAAAAACTGATCCCCTGATATTTTCTTTTTTAAAAAATATATATTTTATTATTTATTTATTTATTTATTTATTTATTTTTACAGAGAGGAAGGGAGAGGGATAGAGAGTTAGAAACATCGATGAGAGAGAAACATCGATCAGCTGCCTCCTGCACACCCCCTACTGGGGATGTGCCCACAACCAAGGTACATGCCCTTGACCGGAATCGCATCTGGGTCCTTTCAGTCCACAGGCTGACGCTCTATCCACTGAGCCAAACCGGTTACGGCTCCCCTGATATTTTCATTGCCCACATGGCACCATACATAGTTATTATAATATTCATCTTTAATTTTTATTAGAGTTTATTGTTCTTTAAACTACTGACCTTCTGGTTTCTTTCAGTAGATTTTAAAAACATTTATTTATTTAAACCACCTGGAATTTCTTTTGGTGTAAGATGTAAAGAGCTAAAACTTAATTTTTTCCAAAGAATTACCCTATTGTCTCGGCACCCCTGGTTTATGTAACCCATTCTTTCGCCGTGCATGTGAGCGCCACTTGTGTGGTGGCACCCATACATGCCCCTGGGGTCTGTCCTGTCTCACTTTGTTTTAATTGCTGGAGCCAGTAACTGTGAAGTGACCCGTGTGTCTCTAGTAGCTGACAATCCCATGGGGAGGGAGGCTCTGGCCTCTGAGAAAGTAAGCCTTTCTGATTCTAAAAGGGTGGGAGAGTCACCTTCCCTCATCGCCGCCACGCCGCTCTCTGCTAGGACCTGCGCGTGGGAAAACAGAGCATCCTGGTGGGGAAGCCGGAGTCCGCCAGCAACGAGGCCTGTGGCAGCAGCGCGAGGGGAAGCCCTGCCCGGGGTCACCGTGGAAACTGAAGATGAGCTTCGGCGGTTCTGACACTGAGAGAAGTCAGCCAAGCTCTTTGTCCCGGATAAGAAATAGAAACCTAGGCGTTTGGGGAGGTGAAGGAGGTCTTGTTCTCAAACTTTTATAAGAAAAACCCCACAAAAACCAAAACGATCCATCCAGTCCCATTTCCTTATGTCAGTAACTTTTGTCCGATCTGTGCTGGAAATGCCGCATTTTAAATATAACAACTAATGATGTGTTAATGACTGTAATAACAAATCGTGTTTCTTCTAAAAGTAGAAACGAGTGGAAACCGTGCCCTCTCGTCTCACCGTCCTTCTGAGCAGCCCCCATGAGCCCACTGCTGGCACCGCCCGGCGTGTCTGGGTGGTGACTTGAAATGGGAGGCAGACGCAGAGGAGAAAATAAATTCCTTGCGTGTTCAAAAACTAAAAACAGAGAGTAAGAGGAGATGTACGAAATCAGGTGAGGGGCACCGTAACCCCAAGTTCTTACGTCGTCCTCTGTGGGCTGGGGTGAGGGGGGCAGGACTGTTGAACACCAGCAGGTGCTGTGCTGTTTTATATGTACCAGCTTTTCTTCCCCGCCCGCCATGCAGGGGTCGGTTTGCCCTGATGTAATGCCCCCTCTGTGTGGAAGCTTGGTAAATTGCCCATATCCTGTGTGGAATTAGGCAGTGCAAGAATAAATAAATGAATTGGTTTAAACTTTTATTTTTAATTACAATTTATGTTTAATATTATTTTGTATTAGTTTCAGGACAGCAGACTTTACAGTGTTCACGCCGATATTTCCAGTACCCATCTGGCACCATGCATCGTTGTTACAATATTATTGCCTATATCCCCTGGCTATTTTAATTCCTAGGTGCTCTCCGATGTATTGTGAAACTGAGTTTTAACAGTACGCTTGATCTAAACAGAAGGAGGAGCACGATTGTTTTAATCTCTTGGGACTTAAGTAAAACTGGTTCCTTTTCCAGGGGAACTTTTGCTTTTTACATTCCTGCCCGATGTTGGCCATCAGGTGAGTGTCCTGCGTATGTGCTCAGCTACAGGCAGGCAGCTCTAGGGCTTCCTGCAGGGGGTTATTTGCTTTACAAAAATAGGACATAGTTTGCCCGACTGGTGTGGCTCAGTGGTTGAGTGTTGACCTATGAACCAGGAGGTCACGGTCCGATTCCCAGTCGAGGCATATGGCCAGGTTTCAGGCTCGGTCCTCTCTTAAACACGCAAACACACTCAAAGGTCTCAATTTAGTTTGGATACTAAAGGCAGGGCAGGGAGGCGGGTGGAGAGACAGGAGTCCCGGCCTTCCTTTTGCTCGGCTGGTCCTGCCCAGCTAGCAGGTGTAGCCAAGCAGCTGCTTTCGGCCCACAGGATGCTGGAGGGGCACTGGGAGGGGTGTGTGGGGGAAGGTGGGCCTCCGCCTCCCTGCCAACACTTCAAATCTTCCCCTCTTAGCTTTGCCCCCACTCAACCACAGAGACCTCCACAAAATCTCCTGTGAGAGGCTGCAAACTCTTCTCTCAGCAGAACACAACTCTTCTGAGGAGGCAATTCATGCCTTCTGCCTGTGTTCATACCATCTGGGTATTTGCCTATTCACTTGTTTATTGGCGTCCGTGACTGGCACTGGCGTGAGGCAAGGGAGGTGCCGAGGGCAGTCTCAAGGGGACCAAAGGGCTGGGCTTCTGTCTGCGTCCCCCAAGATGATGTGAGCCCATGGGGTTGAGGACCGTGTCTGCATGTGTACACGTGTTAGTGCCAAGAACTCGATAGGTGCTCAATTAATATCTAATTTGTTGAGCTTTTTTCTCCGAGGTGTTCGCTTACTGTACTTAGCAGAGTAAACATTCAGAAGTATGAGGAATTCAAGTCCTCACAGCCTGCAGGAGCCCAGGAAGACTGGATCAGGGTGCCAGCTGGCGAGGTGCAGAGAGGGGCACCGAGGGAGGACAGCGGTCCCAGCTCACTGACGTCAGGAGCAGAACCTGTGGTGGGAGTTGGAGGATGAGCCTTCCGCTTCCTTCATTTATTCATTAGATTCTGGCCTCAGGATTGGGAGTGCTGACCATCTGTACGGTGGAAAGACGGCTCCCACAGGCCGTGGTCCCCCCAGGAGATGGCTAGCTAGAAGCCTCTTGGCTAAGTGAGATGAGCAACGCGTGAGCCCTGGGGGCTGCCTCTGTCCTGGCCACCCCTAGTCCCGGCACAGAACAGGCTGGTCACAGAGAAGGTGCTTCAAATGATTATATTTGAACTGGTAGCAAGAAGCCTAAGGAATAGTCCACGAAGCTGCTAAGAAATGAGCACTAACTGCGGAGAAAGGGGGCAGGGTGAGCTGTTTCTCATAAATGAGGGACAGAATGGGAGACGGTCTGCAACTAAAAGTACATGAAAGAGCCCTGGCTGGTGTAGCCAGTTGACAGAGCATCGTCCCGTGCTCCTAAAGATCATTGGTTCGATTCCTGGTCGGGGCACATGCCCAGTTGGTGGGTTTGATCCCGGTCAGGGTGCAGGTGGGAGGCAGCCAATTGATATTTGTCTCTCACATTGATGTTTCTCTCTCTCTCTCTCTCTCTCTCTCTCTCTCTGTCTAAAATCAATAAAAACATATTTTAAATAGATAAGTAAATAAATAAAAATATATGAAAGAGATGTAGACAGTGTCCATTCAAATCAGAAGCCTAAGCTAAACTCTAAAATGGGTACCCGTATGTAAAAGGCAGCGATTTAATGGGAAAAACTTGGGTCCTGGATAGCCGGTGACGCTGGGCAGGAGGACAGAAGGCCCTTTCGGCTCCTGCGTTCACTGCCCTGCGTATTTCTGAGAATCCCCAACCGATGTGGCCTGGGGACTCCAGGCGCCTTCTATCTGAGTCAATGCACTGAGTTATGCAGCCAGGACGACTCTAGGAAGCAGTGACTCACGGGCACCGAAAAGTGACGCATCTGAGGAGGTTTCCCAAGAGGCGACAGAGGAGATCTCTTTCATCCTCCACACCTGGAAAGGCCTCTGAAAACAGGCTCTTTCTCTCTTTCCCTTTGACTGGGTGGCAGATTCGGATCAGCTTTGCAGCCCCCACAGGGCCGGGGATCACTTTCTGAAAACAAGTTGCCCACTTCCTACAGTAGAGACAAGCCGCTGGGTGGGTGTGGGGAAGAGTAAGGATGAAAGGAAGGGGGTGGTGTAGGAGCCCCCTTCCTCCTTTGAACGTGGCCTGTGAGGCGCCACAGCTGCAGGCTGCTGCCCGAATTCTTCACCTTCAGTGAGAGGAAGGGAGGGGAGGGCGCCAGTCCTGCTCACAGACCTTCCTACCGAGACCGAGAGGGAGATGTTCCTGGTGACCCCATTTCAGAGGAGAGAACAGAGGCTCACAGGGCTATGAGCTTGCTAAGGTCAGACAGCTAGCTGAGTTAGGCCCTGCCTTCTGGCCACCTCGGCATGCACCACAGTGATTCCCATGGTACAGGTTTTTTAAAAATCACAATTTATGAATAAATCTCTCATTGATGGATATTTAAGCTGATTCCAATTTTTTAATATTACAATGACCAAAGCCTCTTTTAAAAGAGGCCGTTTCATGCTCGCTTCAGCAGCACATATACCAAATTCGGAACCAAACAGAGATCAGTATGGTCCCTGCACAAGGATGACATGCAAATTCGTGAAGTGTCCCATATTTTAAAATAAAATAAAATAGGCTGTTGTTTTTTTCTTCTTCAAACTTTTGTTTTTTCCCCAATGCAAAAGTAATACATAACGGTTGTAAACATTCATACAACACTGCCCTGGCTGGCTTTGCACCAGCGGTGAGAGTGTCAGCCCTTGGACCGAAGGGTCTCGGGTTTGATTCCCAGTCAAGGGCATATGCCTGAGTTACAGGTTCCCCAGCCCCGGTAGGGGTGCATGTGGGAGGCAACCAATCGATGTGTCTCTCTCCTGTCGACGTTTCTCTTCTCTCTCCCCCTCCTCCCTCCCTTCCACTCTCTCTGGAAATCAATTGAAAAAATATCCTCGGTGAGGATAAAAAAAAAAAAATACAGCACTGAAATGAACAACTCAGAAATGGAGATTCCCCAGAGTAACTGCCATTCACAACTAAGAATATATCTTTTTGACCCTCATCTACACATATGCAAGCAAATATATCCACAGATCCTGAGAAAAAAATTAACTTTGCAGAACAACATTATGATTCAATTTTCTATTCTCTATCCAATGTATTACATATTATATTGTGTAAGAGTGTAATTTTCTGTTTTAAAAAGTACCTGCAGAAATAATTTGGAAGAGCAAGAAGCTTTTAAATATGACTTTACACATTTCCGTAATGTGCTGTCCTTGAATTTTAAAACATCTCTTTATTAAAGCATAATCTACATCTATACTCATATCTGTATTTGAAAGTTGACATATCAAGCGTGTCCAGCTCAGTGACTTTTCCCAAACTGGACACACTCTCTGACCAGCTCTCGGACGGAGAAGCAGGACACGCCCACACCCCGAGCGGTGCTCCCTGGTAATGGTCCCCTGCACCAAGGGCAGCCATAGCCTGACTTTGAATGTACATTTTATTTTTACCCATTTTTTTCTGGGCTTGAATTTTAAGCCTGTTTCAGATTTAAAAGAGAATCTTCAACACAGATGCTGTTAGAATACATGCAGATACAGTGGCCAGCATTTGATGCCAGCATGAATGAATCTGGCTTCGTGGGCTATCTTATAAGTAAGTCTGTACCACAGTTAACCTACTGGCTCCTTCTGATGGACATTTGAATTTTTACTAATTGTTGGCTAATAAGCCAACTACAGGAAACAACTGGATATGTATTTCTTTGTGCATGTAACTTTGAGATGTGTGTTCTTTAAAGATAAACGCCTACAAGTGGAATTGATAGTAAAAACAAAAAAGCTGATTGACAAACATTATTTTAAAAATATTTTGCCATCATGGCTCTCCAGAAAGAAGTAACAGCTCAGTTTCTTCTTCAAAACAAAAGCCAGGTGCCGGGTGCAGACCTCCTCACCGCAGCCCCTGCTGCTGGCAGCCCAGCCTGCTCTCTGGCAGGCCAAGCCGAGCGGAGCCTGCGGCAGGTGCCTGCGGCCCAGCAAGCAGATCAAGGAGCACCCCACCCCACCCTTGCCCCCACAACCTCGACACCCCTCTCCGCAGACTTGCAAAGAACTGAACACAATCCCAAAGACAGCAGCAGGGAGACCGTCAGATAGCAGAGCCTGTCGTGAGACGAGGGCCCGGAGGCCTATTCTTCCTTCCGCTGTGGACTGGGTGTGAGCCCTCGGGGAGGGCAGTCGCCCCGCCTGGGCCTCAGTCTCTTATGGTTCACATCGAGCATCGCTGAGCAAGGAGCCCACCTTCACAGTGAACCCTGGCGCCATCTGGTCCAGGTGACCCTGGCCCCTTCCTTCCTCCCCTCAACCTTGGGAGGCAGCCTGCCCTTGAAGTTGATGGGCAGGAAGCATTTGCTTCTCTTGAGCACCTCCAGCATCTACGCCCTTCTAACTCCCACCTACCGCACCTAGTTCTGCTGTGCTCTCCAACCCCACAGGCAGCAAGCATCTCAGCTGCGGGGCGATGGGCCCGCTGTCCCTTCGTCCCATTGCGTGGCTGCCAGAGGGCCCTGAACAGAACCTGGCTTGCCAAGGCCCTTCTGTAACCAGGGCTGGGTTGGAAAGGCAGGTGGGACTCTGCTCGTTTGCCCTGGCCATGGTGCCTCTGTAAGTGCAGCTTACGGTTGCATTCTTTTTTGGCTCAATAGCTCTTATGCTGCGAAAGCCCAGGACGGGCAGCTAAGGCAGGGTCCCTGGACCTTTTCAAAGGGCACGAGAGCTTCATCAGGACTCCCCTCTCCAGTTTAGCATTTTCTCCTCGTATTTTTCTTCTCTGACCCTGGAAGCTGAGAGACAGTAAAACAATTAATGGACATGTGACAGAGACCTTGATGCCTCTTACCTTGTCTCAGGTGCAAGGTCATTGGCTTTGAGGCCAGGGTCCCTGGGATTCTACCCTCAACAGAAATGAACAGGTGCTAGTGAAGTCAGCTTGGGAGTGGCCAAAGGCCCTCGCCCTGAGGCACCTGCTCACCAGCCTCTCGGGCCTTCTCTACACCCACAACATGGCCGGTGACACGCTGCAGGGGCAAATGAGGACACACACGTTTGATCCTTAATTCTTTTCAACTGAGCATCAACATCTTTGCCGTCTAGATGGGCTTTTGTGCTTTTCCATCACACGAGCCATTTGCATTTTTTGCTTAGGACTTTTATTTTTTACAATCAAGACATTTTTATAAAAGGAATGGAAAGTGAGAGAAGTATACAAGCCATGAGGAGGCAGAAGTGAAAGCCAAGGAAGTTTCTAGTGGGAGATGAAGTGACCTCCCGCACCCCAAACCACCGGTTCCCAGCCCCAGGAGAGGTCCGCAGACACGGGCACGATAAGAGCCGGGTCAGCCCTCCCGCTGGGCCTGGTCCTTGGGCTCCCTGTGAGGACTGTCAGGCCCCAGCCTGGGAAGGACAAGGGAAGCCATGCCAGCGCTGCTCCACGTCTCAGGAGTCCAGGTCACAGCCAAACAGGGCAAGGACGAGCAGGGAGCGGAAGTGGCGTGGGTGGCACTTCTGACTCCGTCCTCCAGTGTGCCCCGAGTTGCAGGAAGTGCCCCGGGGCTCCGGGGCCAGATGACCGCCACGCGCGAGGCCCGCAGGAAGAACTCGCAGTGGTTAAAGCAGGCAGCTCCAGCAGCTCAGTGAAGTTTCCAGGCAGCGTGTCCCTTCTCTCTCCTTTCTCCGCATCTCGCTCTTTCCTGACCAGGCATCTCTGTGGCCGGACACCAGCAGCATATCCTCTGCTCATTTATGAAGCCTAAAAACAACAGCAAGTTGTGAAACCACTTATTCTCAGGCAAAGGCCATTGAATTTCCTGTAACAGAGATAAATGGCAAATGAAGATACAGGGTTCCCCTCCAAGTTAGTAGCCTGGAGCCAGGAGTTTTGGGTTACTATGTTTTTAGGGCCCAACTTAGTCATTAAATTTTTTTTTAAGCTAAAAAAAGAAAGAAAGAATAAAGGGCAGCCCAAAGGACTCTGGCTTTGAATGGTGTGACTTCCTGCAGTGCCTTCTAAGACAGGCTCCTCACAGATGCACACCCAGGGGCCAGGAGGCGGCCTGTGATAGGACGGTTTTCTAAGGCCAGTTAGAGGCCGGGAACCTCTGCTCCAAGGCGCAACGTGAGTTGGGAGCAGCTTGTCTGTGAGGCCCACAGACCGTTTTGTCCACATCTGGATCATGATGGCAAAACCACAGGTGGTTTTCAAACTTTGGCAGCCACAGATCCTTGTGTTCAAATGATGTCTCCCAGGGAAGTGTAACCATAGGCGGCGGATGGGAGCAGAGCTGTGAGCAGAGGCTGAGGGCGCCCAGGGCCACACCCAGGACCACCCTCAGCTCCGTCTCTGCTTTAGTTGATCCACAGACCCCTGGGGTTTGCCAAGGCATGAGGTCCACAAACTGGGGTCAAATCACTGGGGAACAAGTTGAAATGAAGACGTGAGAGGCAGCCAGAACCACCGGCGGTTCCCCGAGGGGGACTGGTTCTCCATAAAAGAACATTCTGGAGGCCTCGGTTTAGACAAATACACTCGGGGTTACTGTCTTGTCTGTAGGGGGTGGTTTCTAAATTCAGCACGTAGGTTGAAGATTGTACCCAATCAATATTATCATCAAAAGCTGCCCATAAAACACAGCAGGCACGTTGAAGCATCTATACCTACAAAGATGGTACACTGGTATATAATAACGTGGAACACACTTTGTGGAGAACTTATAATTTTAGAGTATTTTAAAATTTTTGTTTCTTGGCTGTTGGGCTTGTAGAGTTGACTTTCCTCAGTGACATGAGTCTGTGCTTCGACTCCCTGGGACCCGGGGCTGAGCACCGTGTAGTGGCTCACCCCAGCAAGTCCTCACAATAGCCACGAGGTGGGTACTGTTGTCTCATTTTGCAGATGAGGAATCAGAGGCTGAGAGGGGGGAAGCCACTCGCCTACCGTCACATGGTGGGTGAGTGGCCGGCAGGATTCAAACCCAGACCTGCCTCCTGCTGGAGCCAGAGCTCCTGGGCACGAGGCCCTGCTGCCCTCTTCAACCTAGAGGCCTGGGCTTTCTCTTTTTTCCAACAACCCTCTGTGGAGAGGGTTGCAAGCAATGAGATGGGTAGATGTGAAATTCTCTCTTTTGAGGAAGAAAAACCAATCCAAGAACAGTGCCCAGAGCCCAACTGGGGTCCGGAGGTCCGTGAGGCTGGGGCACCCGACAGCCTCAGGCCTCTCAGTCTCCTGGCCTCTGCCTGTGCTTACACAGCTCAGGGGGCCCAACGGACAAGGTCGTGTTAGCCATGGGAGTCAGATGGTGGGTTTGCCAACTCCCGGGAGCCCAGTGGGGCCCAGGGCGGAAGACGGGCCCAAGGAAGGCAGCACAGCACCCAGCCCAGCAGGGAGAACACTGCCCTGGAGGGACCCACTTGCTCTTGCTTTCAGCTCAATTGTGCTCTTTCCTGTCCCAAATGCTTGGAGCAAGTCTTTCAACTGGTAAAAACAAGCCTCCTGTGTCCTGCAGGACCAAGCTGCATACGATGATGGTGGGAAGGAGTTTGGGATAGCCTGCCCT